CAGGTGGGAAATTTGTCGTCGCTGACCAAAAAATTGCGGGCCGAAACAAAGCTCATTGCATTTACATTCAAAACAAAGCCGAAAGTTAGCAAGAAGCTGTTTTAGCAGACGATTTTTTGCTTTCCATTCAACGATTTACAAATTATTGGTTATTCTTTTAAAAGTCGATCATGAATTCTTTGTTTTGGGATGATTGTTTTGTAATCGAGTGATTGGAAGAAGTTAATATGGCGACGTGAACATGGGAATAAATACCGTATACGTCGATCTATGGCTTGTTTAAAACCGTAATAAACGAAGAAAGACGTGATTTGAGAATGAAATGTAAGTTGAAATTAACTTTATATGCCTCAAATTTTCCGTCCTATGTTTCTTAATGTAACTTCAGCTGTCTAAGTTCAAAATACAAGCTCGCGAAATTTGACAAATTTTGAAAATATGTAAAAATAGCTTGACTTTGAACTGTATTGTCTCAAAAATAGCCCGTGGCCTCAATTTCAAATATGGCTAAATGAAAAGAAAAAACATTTCGGCGTTTGTAGGTATCAAGCATATCGTCAGGAAAATAGGGGCTCACAATGTTTTAGTTCAGTCTTTGAGACCCAGTTGCTTCGCACGTGTTGTGTTCAAATTTTTGCCAAGAATCAAAGGCCGAAATGTGAACTTCCTTCATGAAAACCGCTTCGAGAAGGGTCTAGTTTGAAAATTTAGCTATTAATTTCGATTTCATGAGCATATTTTGGTTACACGTTAAATATTTTTGTACTTGATGAGATTCAAAATTTGTTGTATATTCAAGCCCGGCTTTAGTGTAATTTTGGTGATGACCGGAACAGAAATAAAAATATTTTAAAAACTGGCCGTGGCCTCACGATAAAACTTTCTAAAAATGTTCTCTGTTTCATGTATTTTTATTTGATATCTTAGGTATAAGCGTAAAAATAGGGGCTCATACAGTTTACGAGGTTGTAAAATGCATGACTTGCCTCTATTTTCATGTAAACATTCGAAATTTTTCGACAGCAAAGTAGCAACTGTTTCAGATCGAATGCACACGGACAGCCCACCAGAGACAATGGCAGGGTACTGAAATAGAACATCACTAAAAAATTCTGTGTGATTAATTTAGATCATCTCCATTTTCAACATAAAACAGTCATTTATTTTGTACAAACATTTGGCAATATTTACACGATTGTGCCTTTTTGTAAACACGCGTTGCGTGTATTGCGCGCACTTGCGTGGCTCATTTTGCTCGCGCATGCTCAGACAAATTTCCCACCTGTTCCTAGGGGCGCTTTCCATTGACACGGCCAAACCGGTCAGAACGGTCAAATTGTTGAATGAAACACAAAACGTTTGGGCTTCTGACCCATCTGATCAGAAAATTTAGATAGAATTAGAAAGAGGTCCAAATTCGCTAGATATTTGAGAAACATAGACCAAATCAATTTAAATGTATCCATCAGTATGCACCTCTCTATCTTGTCAATCTTTTAAAAGTAAGAAAGACATCATGCTATAGTCTAAGATCTAACGAAGGCACACTGCTTGAAGACTATAGTACAAAAACAAAGAAAACACTCGGTGACAGAGCATTTGTAACCTCCGCTCCAAAAATCTGGAATGAATTACCTATGTATATTAGAAATCTGCATAACTTTAGTATTTTCAAGAAATTAGTTAAGACTTATTATTTTGAAGAAGCCTTTAATGTAAATACTTCATGTAACATATAATCTATATAATCTTCTTTATATTTTTAGTTAGTAATCATTCAGCATAGAATAATTTTAGTGTAATTATGTTTTGTGATGCGCATTTAATCATATACTATAACATGTTAATTTGCGCAATATAAATATTAAATATTATTATTATTATTAAATCGTTCCATTGAATTCGGGTCTGACCGGTCAGGCCATTAAATGGAAAGCGCCCTAGGTTAGCCTAAAATTCAAAGCAAACATTCTTTGTTTTCTTCTCTGAATTTTTGCAATAAACAGACGTGCAGAAATACATAAATTGAAACAGAAGGTTAAATTCTAACCAAGGTTAGCGCTAATCCAAGGTTAGCACTAATCCACATGCTAATCCAAAACTATATATAATTTCCTAGGAAATATGGCCTGGGGTGCCAAATTATCGGGGGGGGGG